GCTATAGCGCTGCACAGCAAAAACGCATAAAAACCTTATATAATTTTATAATTAGATTTACATTATTTACAATCATTAAACAGTTGAGTCATTTTCAAATAAAAACGACCGCTAAACGGAATTTTTTATTTCCTTATATGCAAAATTTACGACAATTTACAGTATTGAGCGCACAAGGTAGGTGTGAAGGAACAACCGTTCATGCAGTTAACCTAATTACTTCAGGTTTGGTGCAAAAACGCATGATCGCACCGACTCGCCTGGCGTCCCAGCCTGGGTTAACATATCTCCCCGCAGTTTTTATCACTACGGCACCGGTTTTTCTGGCAAATGCTTCTAGTTAAACAAATTAAGACTGGCCGCTAGAACTGTCAGGAAACACACCCTTAAAATTTCAGTTTTCTAGTTTTCCCGGCTCATGAGTTAGTAGCTCACCCAAAAAAAATTTCATGGCCCGTATGTGAGTACCACGCTTACCCAGTGTTTGGGTTTGAGCTTATTAATAACTATTTGGATGGGGATCATCCCTTTAAAATACCAATCCTCTAGCTTCTCAAGATACCGAGTTAGCAGTTTATTCGAAAAAACTTTCACGGGCCCGTATGTGGGTACTACGCGAGTAAGAAAGCCCATTTTGAGGACTGAGACCCGTACGTCCATGTAGATGAAGTTCCCAAAGTTTTAACTCTGTAGCTTTTGTAGGTTTTTAGAGGAAAAACCGTGACAGACTCACACACAGAAACCCCTCGTCAATATGCGTTTTCAGCATTGCACAGATGCAAAAAGCGCATAAAAAGTTGCAAAAAAAGTCAATGAATAATAACGTTTGTGTGCATCTGTCCGGGTATTTCAACTTCGTTACGAGACAAGTTCGGCGCTAAAATTTTACCTGTGGATTTCATGCTCAAGCGCTATCCTGAAAAGTGATACCAAGTTTCTCTTGCGTTCGAGCCTCTTGCGAACACCTGGAATAATTGTTAACCCAGAAAAGGGAGGCTGGAATACCAAGGGGATGCTCACTGTCAATATGCAGCAGAATGATTTTAAATACAGCTCTCAAAGATGCTCGGTTCTCACAAACGCGCACGCAAGAAAACTTTTGGCAGGAAAACCGCTAGCCCGGCAACTAGGCAAGACTGAAGCTGAAGTTATGGGAAGGCATTCTCTGTCCATGTATAACTTGAATATTGCAAATTAACCTGCTTGAAATGCTTCTCTGGGAAAAATTGCTAACTAGGCATCCGGAACAGCCTGACCATTTTCAATGCAGGATAAGAAGGAGAAAACTCCTTCATGCAAAATCTACGGCAGTGAGCGCATAAACTAAACCCGGACTGGAACGCACCAGGCTTGTCTCTGCGACCATGAGTTTTGGCTCTAAACTTGAAGCAATCAACTCGCTAACTGAATAATTGATTGTTACGCGTCGTTATTATGCGTTTTTGCATATATGCAAATTGCAAAAACGCATATTGGAACAGGCTATGTGTGCGTGTGTGCGTCTGTGTGTTCGCACTATCTGTCACCCATTTTCAATTCGAGGACCAGAAAAACTAGAAGACTGAAACTTTGGGAGTATGTGTCCATACCATGCGCGACTCTTCC